GAGGTCTTCATCTTTATTTCACCCAGCATCTCCCATCAACCTGTGACATCTCTGCAGCAGCAGTACCACCACTGGGTGGTTTTGTGCTGTCAGACATAGAACTCCTGAATTTGCTACTCTTCAGAACAAATAGCTTTGCCCTGCTAAAAGGGGCAGCTCAGTAGGCACTGACACCAGCTAGGATTCACCTTAAACATGGTGCAAACACCCAGGCTTTACACCACCAGTAGCACTGTGAGTTGAGGCTGATTTCTCGAGCTTCCCCACTTGAACTCAATCCTGGAGCAATTGTTCCCAGCCTGTACTCAACTTTGCTGCTTTTAGACTTTACACATTTGTCTTGAAGCTTGCCTGTACCTCTGGTACACACTGGTGTTTTCTTTCCCTTGGAAAGATTGATGGGGAGGGAAAGGGATCTAAATGTTTATGTGGATTTGACTTGCTTAGTGTGTTACTGGGGCTGGTTTCTTGTTTAGTGTTAGTGATGTGAAGTCCTGTTTCGCAGTGATGATGTGAAAAGGCATGAAGTGAGATTGGGCTTTCTACAGAGGTGTGCAGTCACATTGCTTCCTTGCAAAAGCCAGCTTGCTTTACAAATGGACAAAGCTGAGGAGGGAAGCAGAGTTAGAATAGAATCATAGAATCAACTGGGTTGGAAAAGACCTTTAAGATCATCAAATCCAGCCTTTACCCCAGGCCTGCCAAGTCCACCACTAACCAACCCATGGCACTGCATGCCTCTCCATCCAAAATAATTGATACTGTGGCTGTAGCACTGTTAGGAGGACAAACTCCTGATAACTTCTGGTGTAGACCCAGGGCATGCTAGTCTCGTATTTAATCTAATGGGACGTCAGTTCTGTCCCGTCTTATGCAACCCTTTGTGCACTAAACTCAATTTGTAGTTGGGTGTAGGTGCTAGAACGTCAATATCCCATGTTTGTTTGCTTGATGCATGCATAAGATGCACAGCTTGGGGTGGACTGGTCTGGCTGAGCCATAGCAGCAAACCCACACCTACAGCTGGTGGAAAACCGAGTTGACCCCAGTGAGTAGAGACACGTTTTGAGAAGGGCAAAGGAGACTTCAGCCTTTCTCCAGCCTCAGCCAGCTGAGCTGTGCATGCCATGGTTTGGAAGGGAGCAGGGACACTGCAGTTGCTGCTCAGCCTGTTGCTCCAGAGCCCACGTTGCTCCCAAAGCACAGAAGCAGCAGTGCTGCTTCCAAGTGGACTTCATCAGCTCCTTGAGTGTTTAAAGACCTGGTGCTGTTTTTATATGGATTTAGCATCACCCCCTACCCTCTGGGTGACGGCTACCAAAGGACTCTGCTGCCTCTTCAAGCTCTGTTGATCTTGACTGGCTTCTGGTTCAATTTGGAGACAGCCTGCTGCAGCCCTGCACAGTAAATGCCCTATTAAGCAGTTAATTATTTCTCTGTAATACTAGCTTTTATCTTTAATACAACAGTTTTACTGTCTCTGATAATTACACAGTCTCGGATAACTCTTAAATCTAATGAGGCATGACAAGCTGTGTTCAACAAGGCAAGACACCATTAACTTCTTGCCTCTTACTTGTCATCTTATCGCACTGAATTACTGTATTTCTAGCCTGAGTGGCTGTGGATATGTAACGTGTCACTTCTCATTAAGAAAATACTGAGGATCAGCCCTGGTGCTCTCATGGTCAGGTTAGTGGTCAGCTTGGTGGCCTGCAGACTCCTCCAACTGCAGCATCATGTTCTTGGCAGCATGAGCTGAGCAAGACAGGTTCAATTTAGATACCTCTGGCTCCTCAAACAGCTAGATTGGTCCATGGGTCTCTTGTTTATGGGCGAGTGAAATGCAAGTGGCCTTTTGAAGGGCATCAGGGGTGATAGACCTTGTTTGTGTTGATGGAAATTACTGCTTCATCAGGGATTGTAGTGATAGGACAAGGGGTGATGGGTTGGAACTGAAACAGGGGAAGTTCAGGTTAGATATAAGGAAGAAGTTCTTTACTGTGAGGGTGGTGAGGTGCTGGCACAGGGTGCCCAGAGAAGTGGTGAATGCTCCATCCCTGGCAGTGTTCAAGGCCAGGTTGGACTTGGGCAACATGGTCTGGTGTGAGGGGTGTCCCTGCCCATGGCAGGGGGGTGGAACTGAATGATCTTAAGGTCCTTTCCAACCCAAACCATTCTATGATCTTGTGCTGGGATTTAGCTGGATAAGGGAAACAATGTGGTTTTTCTGGACAGGGATAAGACACACACTGCTGCATCAGTGCCTGGTGTAACTTGACATGACCTCTGCTTCATTACTCAGTAATGTCAGTAATGAATCAGATCACTGGAGTGCTGGTTTTCTATGGGTTTGATAGTGTCACTGAAACCCCTCCATGTGCTTGATTGAAATCCTGGGCTCTGGGGATTGTCTTTTCATATATTGTGCTTTCACCCTGCCAGTAAGAGTAGCACGAAGTTGTACTTCTGGAATGTTGAGGCTCAGGCAGGGAAGTTCCTGCATCCTTCCAGGCTGGACCAGGAAGACCTTTCCCATTGGAATGAGCCCAGGCTGTCCTGTGGGGCAGATGTGCCCAAGTGCACCTGGGCTGAGCAGGTCAGTTAATTGCTGTCTAGATACAGAACAGCAAAGAGCCCTTTGTTTGGGATGTATCCATCCAGTGTGTTGGTGCTTTATCCCAGCCCTTACTGAGCCTGCTGCTGGCTCCACTTCTCGAGGTGGGTTTGCCTTCTGGTCTGTGTGTGAGTTGTGCCTTCAAAGCTGTGTATCTATCTCCCCACTGAGCAGAGGAGGAAAAGCCTTATTTCAGGTTATAACCCGAGTCACTCAGATTCCCTGTGGGTATTTTATGGGTTGCCCATGGGACTAGCTACTGTGGCGTGCCTGAATTAGATCAGTTCCCGGCTCTCAAAGGGCATTTTTTTACTTGGAAGTGATTTGCTTCTCTGCAGTTTAATTAACTGAAAGGCTAACGAGTAAGAAGAATGTGAATCTGCAAGAGGGCTGGATATCAAGTTGTGTTTAAAATTGTGCTGGCCTTAGCAGCAGTGTTAGTGATCTAAACTGGGCCGGAGGTGTTGCGTGTGCCCTGTTCCTCCCATGGGCAGTAAGGAAACTCCTGTCTATAGAAGTGCATCTCCTTACCCTGCTGGAGAGCAGAAAGAACATGCGGCTCTGATGTCCCTGCTTTTACCTGTGTCCCCGTCCTCATATCCACAAGATGCCCTGGGAAGTGTCCTCATGTGCCAAGAGCTGTCGGCAGTGAAAGGAGTCCCTTTGGCTGCACATCTGAAAGCAGTGGCAGGTTACATGGAGCTGGGTGGAGATGAAGAAAGAATAGCTGTGATGAAGTGGGATGGTGGGTGTGTGTTCTGGCTTCTGGTTGCTTTTAAAAGGAGCTACAGGGCTTCAAATTGTGAAGCCTTAGTTGTGATAAAACCTGATCATGTGTTTGGGCTCCTGTAGTCTGTGTCCTCTTCAGTACTCACTGCAGTGGTTCGCCTGGTTTTGGGCAGAGCTGGGCTGTGTAGCAGGATTTGGTGCCTGATGCTCACAATAGGTACTCCTGGGGTGGTTTCTCTAACGGGGTCGTGCATTGCATATTGATTCATACTCAAGTGTTCTGCTGCTTTCAGGCTCCTGGTTTCACTAGATGGCACCACCAAGCAGCAGCTCTGCTCTCATCCCCGTCAGGATGTTAAGAGAGAATGCACCGAATCGTTGTTTTTGACCATTTCCCTCCCAAACCATCACAGCTCCTTATTTTTAACTCTGGATCCCGTTCAAGCTGGCAATGTGTATGGGGACTGATTGTGACAGCTTTAACCTGCTGTCGGTGACAAGGAGAGTGATTCCAGCAGCAGAGGCAAGGATGGGGAGCTGCATCCTGTGTCCACCTGAGGTTTGGAGGCAGCGTAATGATGATGTCTGTAGCTCTAGATGTAGCTGTTGGCAACCTTACCACAATGCAAGACAGTGCCACTGAATGCCCTTTACTTCTGGGGTATCACTCCTAGCTGGAGTGATAGCAAACCAGTCAAAAATGACTTCTGCATGAGATATGGAACTTAGTATTTTCCATTAGCAGCTCCTGTTTGTGCATGTAAAAACTGGTTGAGCCCAAGGAGAGCATCAGAGCTCTGTGTCAAATTAACTAGGACCTTCTGAGATGCTTCTGCAATGCCCAGTTCATGGAGAGCTTGGGAGGCAGAATCCCAGAATGATTTGTGTTGGAATGGACCTGCAAAGCTTATCTAGTCCAATCCTCCTGCAATGAGCAGGGGCATCTTCAACTAGACCACGTTTCTCAAAGCCATGTCCAACCTTGACTTTTCAAGGAAGGAAGAGTTGCATCCATTATCTTAGGGCATGTTTTTGGTGGTACTGAAGCCATGTGTCTAAGACCACTGCTCCACAGTGGTAGCCAGTGGGCATGCAAAATACCGTGTAATGAGATAAGGTTTTAATCCTAGCTGGCATGGAGCCATGTCAGCTCACAGGGGGTTTGGGATTGGCATTGGTACCTTCATGCTGGAGATGAGTGCAGGGTGCTGCATCCTTCAAGGTCCTCTGGTCCTGTTATCTGCAAGAGGAGATGGCTTTATTGCCCTGCTGTGACCCAAAAGCTTAGTGAACTCATGGGCTGTAACCATTTCAGTGTCGGTACCATCATTTGTTTGCCTGGAAGAATTTAGGGCTGGTAGACGGTGATGATCCCTCCCTAGCTTCCCTTGGGTTGCTTCCCATGGCACGAGCATGCTGCTGCTGAAGGATGCCGGAATCAAACACCTACCTCCCAAACACCTCTACTGTGCCTCCTGCTGACCTGTGGGTCAGTTGGGAGCCAAGTGCTCGGATTTGCTCGGCTTTACACTGGGGAATACTGAGGGTGCTCCAGAGTTCTTTGACTGCTTTTGCCTTGAAGGTTGGCACAGCCTGCACTTGTGCATCGGTTCAGCTCTGCTGGTTGATGTAACCTCTCTCATTCTCTTTGCAGTAAAACGATTTAAGGAACCAAAGGCAGAGAGGCGTCCCTGGAGGATATGGTGAGACTTCAATTTGGGGTTGATTAGACCATGTATATGTAATACTACTTTCTCTTGTACTGACAACCTTCTAGGCCCTCTGAATATCATAGAATCCCAGAGTGGTTTGGGTTGGAAGGGACCTTGAAGCTTATTCAGTTCCAGCCACCTGCCATGGGCAGGGACCCCTTCCACTGGAGCAGCTTGCTCCAAGCCCCTGTGTCCAACCTGGCCTTGAACACTGCCAGGGATGGGGCAGCCACAGCTTCTCTGGGCACCCTGTGCCAGCGCCTCAGCACCCTCACAGGGAAGAGCTTCTGCCTTCTGTCTAACTTGAGCTTCACCTGTTTCTGTTTGAACCCATCACCCTTTGTCCTGTCACTGCAGTCCCTGATGAAGAGCCCCTCTCCAGCATCCTTGTGTGCCCCTTCAGACACTGGAAGCTGCTCTGAGATCTCCATGCAGCTTCTCCAGGCTGAACAGCCCCATTTAGTCATTAAAGGAAATGCTCTCCTTCCAAGGACACTTCAAGACAGTAGCTGGTGCTCCCTAGAAGTAAAATTCTCTGCCTGGCTCCTCTAGGAAAGCTTGGTTTTACTGTAGCTGATGGAACAGAGAGGGTTTGGTCCCCTCCAACCTGCTGGCACAGGAGCTGTCTCCCAGACAGGGCCAAGTCTTGTTCTTCAATTCAATAACCATTTTGGTGTCCCCTGACCCAGCTCAGGCATAGCTGGGTATTGCTACCTCTACAAAGGATCTCTGTCTATTGTAGGGTTTATGGGGTGTAGAGAGGTGGGCATATGGGGTGGGCTTGAAGTACAGTCAGGGCAGCTTGGCAGCATAGAGCTACCAGTCAGCATTAGTGAAGAAAAGCCTGTCAGTCTCCTCAGTTTGATTCTTCCTCTATAATAACTTGGGAATTCAACCTAATTCCCTGTGGATGGGTACAAACAGATGTAAGTTGCTGGCGTATTTATTTATATTCTTTTTCCTTACGTATTTGAAGTTGTCCAAACTGCCCCTTACCACCACGTACAGCTTCCTGGACATCAATGCATCTTGGAGGGAAGCAGATCCACACAGGGCCATTGCTCTGCTGCTGGTGCTCCAGGACACTGATCCTTTTGTCTTTCCCTCCAGGTTTTATGATACATCCAAGCAAGCAATAGGCTCCCTCTTCATCCACTTTGCCAACGTTTTTCTGTCGGATCTCACTGAAGAGGACCCTTGCTCTCTGTAAGTATATGAGGTGCTTGCATTCACACCCTGTATCTGGAAAAGGAAGAAGCGAGCCTGTTGGGAAATGTCATGCATGGTGGAAACTGATCTATTTGAAGGACTAAGTGGGGATAAACCGTCTTGAGCTTGTTTTCAGGGTATGGATTGTCTAATGGTCTTTGCAGTCTGATGGAGATGAAGCGATGCGGTCATGCTTTTGTGGTGATCGGAAGTGTCTGGAAATGTACTGGCAGAAAGCTGCAGTGAACAATGCAGTGTGGTCTTTGAACACAGCCAGCTTGTACCCAGGTATCCAGGAAGCCCCCAGCATCCTGGCCTGTATCAGCACCAGTGTGGCAGCAGGGCCAGGGCAGGGATTGTGCCCCTGCACTGGGCACTGGTGAGGCTGCACCTCGAATCCTGTGTTCAGCTCTGGGCCCCTCACTGCAAGAGAGACATTGAGGTGCTGGAGCGGGGCCAGAGAAGGGCAATGGAGCTGGTGCAGGGCCTGGAGCACAAGTGTGATGGGGAAGGGCTGAGGGACCTGGGGGGTTCAGTGTGGAGAAGAGAAGGCTCAGGGGGACCTGATGGCTCCCTCCAAGTGCCTGAGAGGAGGATGGAGCCAGGAGGGGCTGGGCTCTGCTCCCAAGGAACAAGGGATGGGACAAGAGGAACCGGCCTCAAGCTGCACCAGGGCAGGTTTAGATGGAGCTGAGGAACAATTCCTGCCCCAGAGGGTGCTCAGGCATTGGAACAGGCTGCCCAGGGCAGGGCTGCAGGCACCGTCCCTGCAAGTGTTCACACAGCGTGGAGACGAGGCCTCAGTGCCATGGGGCAGTGGTGGCCTTGGCAGTGCTGGGGAACGGTTGGACTGGATGAGCTTAAAGGGCTTTTCCAGCCTGGTTGGTTCTGTGATTCTATGTCAAATGTCCCATTTGTTGGCACCCCAGACTTTGTAATTTGGTTGGTCTCAGGGCTGTATTGAGAATGTTTTCCTAGCCATGTGGGTGAAGGTCCAATGTATGGATGTGGTTTTCAGATATTCATTTGCACCTACCTCTTGTAGTCCTGGGGGGGGGCTTTCTAAGCCAGCTTTTGGACTTAATATAGAAGTGCCACCTTTATGTCAGACCAGCCACTTCACAGCTGCAGGTTTAGTTTAAGAATTAACTTTATCCTGTTTTGATAAACTCCTGAAGGCTTCAGAGTGCTGCTGAAAACCTCCTGGCCCACCTCCCTTCTATGTGTTAGAGTGCTGCACATCTGTGTTTCTTAAAACAGAGACAAGTTTGGGGCTAAATATAGCCTCCGAAATGATTCGTTGTCGTTTTAAACATACACTGTTAAAATAAACCTGTTCATACTTGTGAAAAGTGCCCTTTGGGTTTCAGTGTGTGTTTTGGGTCTGCCTGCCTTAGCATCATGAGCAGGCAGCTGAAAACCCTGCAGCCCTGGCTCTGGGCTTTGAGGCTCCCACACTGCGTGTCCTGCCCAGTGTAACCCATCAGAGCCTTGTGTTTGTATCAGAAGACTCTGATTTCAGCAGCTTGTAATAAGCTGTTCAGAGACTTTGGATGTAGGAAACGTTCATGTTGTGATTTCAAAAGCAGATAGTTATTTTCAGTGTCTGTATTCAGAGGTAGGATCAAGTCCTGTGTAAGGAAATGTTTGTTCCTGTAGCTCTGTGCTTGGTATTGTCTTCATGCTGTAGAAATCTGGCCTCATCTGACAGCAGAGATTCCAGTAATGGAAAACTGGCCAGAAAACATCAGTTTGATCCTTTTTCTCTCTGGAGTTCATTAAAATACCAAGTCCTGGATTAGAGCTTGGGCCCTGCAATCTGCATAAGGTCACTGCAGGTCTCCTGCTGGTGGTGCTCTGTCCAGTGAGGCTTAAACATCCAAAGCTGCAGAGCAAGTCCACTGAGCCCGTATCTCCTGGCAGGGGTGGGTTCAGCTCCTGGATCTGCAGTGGGAATCTGAACTGGAGGCTTTGGGGGACCCCAGGGTGCCAGGAAGCTGAGCCCAGGACCCATCACCTCTCCCAAGAGCTTCTGCCTCTCCATTGGTGTCTCTGCTCATAGGAGCCTCTTGCAGCTGCTCACTAAAATGGACTTTATTCCCCTCCTGCTGCACAGCTGGCAGAGCAGCTGTGGTGTCCAAGAAGCTTCCATTTCCTTGTATGGAATTCCAGGAATGTTTGGTTCTGTTTCCCTGAAACTTGGGATTTCATCCTAGTAAGGACAAATGATGCTGCAAATGGAAAGCCTGCTTTCTGGGGGTAACTCTTAAGCAAGGCTAGCCCAGGAAGCGTTTAATGCTGTGTGCATAAATGAGTGATGCCAGAGACCTGATGGAGCCTGCTCCCTTTTTTGCTAAACAGGCTTTGAGCTAAGAAATTGCTGGTAAGGCTGTAGGAAAATCCAGTAAAAGAGCGAGGAAGTGAGCTTGGACTATGAAGTGGGGATTTCTTTTAAATCTTGGTGTGTTTTTTATGGATCCCCATACTGGAAAATGAACATTTTTGAATCAGAACACAACTGAAACCTGAATTTTCCTCTCCTGCCTTCTTTTCCTTGGCTACCTTATTAATTTCATCCTTGATGCCACGCTGGGGATGCTGCTGATCTGGCTTGGTGTGAAGGTTGTCTCCTGGATCGTGCAGCATAAGAAGTACACGTACCTGGTCTTCGGAGAATATGGTAGGTGTCATAACCATAACTGCTCCCAGCTATGAATGGGGAGAAGAAAATGGGAGGAATTACAGCCTGGGGATAAAACATGTGTCATCTCTTCTCCAGGGAGTCATGGAGTGTAGCAGTGATCAGTGTATTGTTAAATGCTGGCACATCACTAGGGCACAGGTACCTCTGCTGCTGCCTTGCCAAGCATACCTGAGCGTAGCAGGCTGGTGATTAAATCCTTCAGTGGATAACAAAGGCCAGGGCATGCATATGATAAATGAAGGTGTTTGGGGGAGGTGTTGGTGACTCTTGTGGGGTTCTTTCAGGGTTTTTTCCCTAGCCTCTTAGCTCAAAGCAGGGAGGAGTTCTTGCATTTGCCTTGAGCTGTTGTAGGTATCAACAGTAGGACCCAACCTGGCCCCAGACCCGAGTTCTCAAATGACTTGCCCAGGGAGGTTGTGAATGCTCCATCCCTGGCAGTGCTCAAGGCCAGGATGGACGAGGCCTTGGGTGATATGATTTAGTGTAAGGTATCCCTGCCCACGGCAGGGGGGTTGGAAATGGATGATCTTAAGGTCCTTTCCAACCCTAATTATTCTATGATTCTATGACTTGTGGGGTTGGGGGAGTGAGGGTTGCCAGATAACAACAACTACTAGTAGTTATTATTATTACTATTATTAATAATATTGATAATAATATATGCATGCCAGGGTCTTGCTTCTCTCCTTCAATTCCTGCCTTGAGGCAAAGTTCCAGCAAAGCCTTTCTCAGCCAGCCCCACTAGAGGGTAGCACTGCTCTTTGGAAAGAGCAGAACCAGCTTCAAGGGGAGCAGTGCTGCTCTGAGCCTGCAGGGAAGGGGAAATGAGCCCTTTGTCTGTTTGATCATGGAATGGTTGGAGAGGACCGTAAAGATCATCTAGTTCCAATCCAATATTTTTGTTATTTGTTTTATATTTTTCCATATATTTCATTATATCTAATATAATGACAACTTCAGCCTTACTCTAGAAAATACACCCTATTCAGTCCTGCCTTTAAGGTGTTAATCATTAAGTCTGTTCCAAAGGTAGTCTTGTTTCTTTCTATTTTTAGTAGCTGGTCTGATAACTGAGCTGGTGGAACCTGGCCCAAATGAGGATTAGCATATAGACCCTATTAGCTTGTGAACTCTTATTCAGGTTTGCATTTAGCATGTGTAAATGGGTCATGACAAAGAATGGAGGGGGTGGCTGGGTTTGTGAAACAGCAGAAGCAGCTACTGGGTAGATGACAACAGATGGGTTGAAATGGTGGGATGTGAGAGGAAGGAAGAAGGCTTAAGGGCAGCGCTGATCTCCAAAGCAGGTTCAGCATCCTGACAGCATCTGTCTGGTGGGGACTGCCTGTTTTTCCTTAGTGGCTTGTTTCTCAGAATGCTAACATAACACATGTGAGACAGCAGAAGAATCCAGTTATTCTTGGTTCATGGATGGCACTTTTTCCCTTTTAAGCAGCAAGGGCTCGAAGCCCAGCCACAGCCATCCCAGGGCACAGCTTCATGTGCCACGTCTGCAGTTGAGCAGAAGCAAGCATTCAAGTGTATTGACAGCTTGCTTTAACCTTGCCTAGCAGTAATGAACTTCTGTTGAGCTGTCCCTGGCGCCTTGCAAGGGCTGGCTTAGACTGCAGAAACAGTTCACTCCTCTGAGGAATTCTTGCTTTCATTAACAGCAATAGAAGTTACTGCTGTTGCTTGACTTTAGCTCTTGAATTGGGGATTCAATATCCCATCCAGCAAGCACTGCTCTTGGCACAGGTCTCTGGCCAGAGTGACCACAATGGAAAAGTTAGGTAGGAGTCAAGGGGCATGTGTGGTGCTATCCTGCTGTAGGCCTAGGGAAGGAAAGCACTGCTGTCCTCAGCCCGGGTGTTGAGTAGCTTCCAAAACAGTTTGGAAGATGCCAGTAAACTCCTTGCAGTTTGATACAGGCTCCAGCAATAAGATTCATTTTCTGGTCTAATTGCTGTACCAGACTTGGTGTTGCTTCCCCCAATCCTCCTAAGGCCCAGAAACATCTCTTGCAGTCCTGCAGAGGAGGAAAGGTAGAAGGGAAGCACCAAATCCGTGCTGAGTGCCATTGCTCCAGCTATCAGAAAAGACTAGTTGTGTCTTTGGCCAGTATAACCAGTACCCATCTAGGGTGTGTATTGGGCAGGGAGGGGAAATCTGTTGCAGCTGCTTCCTTTCTGACCCTCCAGCTCTTGGTTGCATCCCAAACCGCTGCAGTTATCCTTTGGTTTGGGCTCCAGTGGTTCCTCCTGCTCTGCTGCTGGTAACCCCATCTCCACCACCTCAGGTGGTTCTTCCTTGTGCCACCGCGATAGCTTCATTAACGGAGAAGCAAAGAAAAGGGAAGGGAAAGCACCTAAATCTGTGCTGCTGTTTTAAGTGTCCAACCATCCAGAACTCTTTAGAAAGATCAACTACTTCCATGTGTCCAAAACCCAGGAGACAGCCATTCTGAGATCGGCCTCTCTCAGCCAAAGGCTGCTGCAGCCAGGAATGGCCTGGCTTTTAGCTAGTGGAGAGTCAAAGGCTCCTATAGGCTTCTGTTCCTCCATCTTTGCCCGACAGCTTTTGATTGCTCTTTGGACTGCCTCTAAGCACAGGAAATGGCATTTTAAGTGGCTGCCTCTTCTGAAGATGCTTGGCTCGAAAGATCAAAGATTGGAGAGCTTTATTCTTCAGCTGGGTTCAAGTAGAGAATGCTGGTTGCCTTCCATGTACTTAAAGCTAACAAACTCCACAAATGCTCTGTGCACCGTTGCTGCAGCAGGGTAGCAGCAGACCATGTCTGTACGAGCCCTCCCTATAGGGGACTTCTGCATGGAAGAGAATTTAAGTTGCAAAGGACCTGGGAGTGAATACTCAGGGTGTTGGAGGTGCTGCTGGGCTTATACGGACTGAGCAGGGGAGATGCTGGCTGGAGTCAGAGCATGCGGATGAAGCCTGGGTCAGCTTTGTGCCCTGCCTTCTTCTTCTTCCCCTATCCCAAAGCAGCAACCAGACTCCCAGGGGGGAATCTATGGATGGCTGCAGTGTCCTGGCATTTTAGTTGTGTCTAATAACGCTAAAGCATTACTTAAAAGAAATACTCCAGTAGTTCTAAAGTAAGCAGATGCTATGAATTTGCATTAAGAGATGGTTTCTGCAGTGTGCAAGTAAAATGCTCTAGGGGAGCATTAACAAGGGGGAGAAAAAGAGGGTGTTCTTGCTTGAAAACATCTCCCTGGATGTTGGCTTGTCTATGACTCTGGTTGCGGTCACTGATTAGGCTAAGCCTGATGCTCTGTGCTCATCCACCGTCTGGAAAAGGAAAGATGTTGCTTGGAGGCCTTTAAAGTCTGTTTAGTGCCCTGTTGAACTCTTCTGGTCAAGCTTAGTTCTAGGAGACTGCTCTGTGCCAGCTGCTGAGTTGAACTGAGGATCCGTGTAGGCTGCTTTTGGCCCTGTTGTGATGTTATGGAAATGTTGTCCAACAGCTATTCCCACATCCTGGAGCAGCCAAGGGAGCTGGCTGCTGGGGCTTGAGGAAATACTGCTGAAAATAGCCCTAAGCTGAGGGGTGTCCTGTCCTTAGCGTGCTTGGCCTTTCTGCCCCAGGACCATGGGGGGAAGGAGGACTGAGGATCCATCCTCACATGGTCAAGTGTGCGGTCGGGTCCCTTGCTCCAAGCAGGGGTGCAAACCTTTGAACCTGCTGGATGGAGATGACAGCAGCAGTGTTTATCCCATTACAACAGCAGCGTCTCCAAGGACCAAAGGGACCAGAGCAGGGACACAGCAAGCTGGGGACTGATTCCAGCTGTGCAATCACTTCAGTTCAGATGTAGAACATGCCAGAGAGGGTCTGGGGTGTCTGCTGGACCCACCTGACTGCTCTGGTGCATCAGATCCCAACCTCTGAAAACCTGTTCTTGGCCTCTAAGTGAGCACTTCTGTGCAGTTCAGATGCTTTTTCTTACCCTCCTCTGTGCTTCGTGCTGATAATTACATCCCTTGGGTTTGGAGGTAGTATTTTGGTGTACCTTAAGAGGTGTTCATTGACTCTTTCTGTCCCCACCACGCCACCCAGCACAACTTTCAGTGCTCTCAAATACTTGTTTTTCTCACACCCACCCCAACCCCTCCTCTTTGGCTGTGGTTGAGCTTTTTCCCTACCTGTTCAGTGCACACACAGTCCCCAAATGACTGTAAATAAAGCTGTTTGGCAGCAGCCTGTGAGCTATGCTGACAGCTTGGTACATTAGACAGGATGGATTAAAACTAATCCTGTTGTGTGGTAACAACTCCAGTGCCTCAAGCAGAGCTGCTTTTACTGTGTGAGCAGCTGGGCTCCCACACACAAGAGGAATATCCCAGACATGCATTCAGATGAGGTTCTCATGGTCCTAAGTATGCATCAAGGAGGTTTTTGTGATGGTGGGGAGCACCAGCAGTGCTTCTTGAAGAGCAAAGTCTGAAATGCAGTGTGTGCATCCTTTGGGGTGAAGGAGGCTGTTTCTATCAGGGTGGCTGTAAGTGGGTTTATTAAGCTAAAAGGAGAGGTTGGTGGTGAAATCAGTTCATAGAGTTGACATGTCCTGAGTTACCTTCCTGTTGGGCTGGGGACAAGAAACTGGAAGTGTTCAAAGGGAGCATGATGCATGTGACCTCCTAAGAGGTGTGATGTGGAGGCTGCAAAGATCCTCTGGACCAGTTCCCCACTATTCTATGAGGAAAGGGAAGCTCTGGACCCAGAAAAGGAGAGCTGTTTGGGGGTTTGTTTGGTGTGTTTTAGCCTCTAGGTAGCAGATTGGGTTTTGCTGGCTGGCAATGTTATGTGGCACTGACAGTCTTGGTGCTCACCTAGATTTAAGTAATGAAAGCACTTCATGCAAGGTGAATCCTCTCCCATCCACAGACCAGAGCACCTCTGGATAGTGCTGTATCCATTAAAGACATTAAGTTGCATCTGAGGGTGCTTCTGCCCATCTTGCTGTAGGAAGTCAGCACCTACATTTAGGTGTGTGGCTAGCTGATGCCAGCTCTCCAGTCTTGCTTCCTAACTGTGGAAGGAGATGTGGCCAGTCTGTCTCATGGGCTCGTCCAGGGACCGCACCAAAGGCTCCCTCTTCCACGATGAGGTGCCAGTAGGTGGTGATTTGTATGTTAGTGGCATTAGTCAGAGTTAGATGGATTAGTGGTGAGTTAGACTTGGATGGCGGCCACTCTGGTGTGGATCAGTGGTCCTTCTAACCTGCCAAGGTAAGGAGCAGCCACCTGAGATACTTGGTGAAGAGGAAACGAGCCACTGATCTATATCTATTTTATATATATATATATATGTATACACACATACACACTTGCAGTCCCATGGGACACGCTGCTGTTTCATTTTCATCTTTGTCCTGAGTTATATTGGTACAGATCAGCCTCCTGTCTGTGGGAGACCAAGATGCAATCAAAAGTAACTGTGAAGGCACCCACTGGTCATCCTGTCAAGGGCTGGAAGTGGGGTCCCATCTAATTCTGTGCTCCAGGATGGATTCCTGTACAGGAACATCTCATCTCATAGTCTGAAAACAAAGCTCGGAATGGAAAAGGAGGAGGAAGGGGTTGCAAAACTAGCAGGTTTGAGCTGGTTAAGGTGATAGAGCAGACAGCCAAATCTGGCCTCTCCAGAGGTTTGTAGCTCTTTCCATAGCTTTCTGCTGTCTACCCTGGGCATGTAAGAAGTGCTGATGCTCCTGTATCTGTGGAGGAAATTGACAGCATCTTCTTTAGGTGATGCAGAAAAGACCAGAGTGAAAAAAAATCGTATTTGAAGCTCCCCATTGTGATGGAGGCACCTTTGACAAGGTGGATGTGGTGGGTAGGAGGAGGTGTGGGTCTGTCCTGCCTGGTCGTTCAGGTTTGCTGTACCACTTGCATGTACCCCGTGGACTTAGCCAGTGAAGCTGGCCTCACTGGGGCACAGAACTGGGGTTCTTTAGATGGGGTATTGCAGTTGCACAATAAAAACTGTTCTCTAACAAAGGGAGAAAAGGTTTCCCATTTCCAAACGTTGCTCAAGAAAACTCACGCTATTTGATGGCTGGCTTCTTAAATGAAAGTGAAGGGAAAAGTTCTGGGGTGAGGAGCTGTTAACCCTGGAGACATGGGCAAGCCTAGGGTGGTTTAAGAAGCAGGTTGTCTTTTCTAGTGTCTGTATCAGCCTGGTTAGCCAAAACCCGGCTGGGGCTGTCTAGCCCACTGTGTGCAGAACCAACAACTATATTCTCCTGTTTGTGATGTTGGCAGGGGGCTGGAACTAGATGATCTTTTGGTGCTTTCCCACCCAAACCATTCTATGAATGGTAGTGACCTCCTACCACCAAAACAGTGTGAGGGGGTGCAGGCGTTTGGGAGAGGTCTCAAACTTGCTGCTGCTTTCTGGGCACAAGGAGGTAACAGAGGGCAGTGATTCACAAGTGCCATCGTGACTGCAGTGTAGAAGAGCCGACTTGCAAAGGGTGCTGTGGCTGTTTGCCCTGTCCCCCATGGGCACAGAGCACAGCTGACAGCACAGAGCAAAAGGGGAAGAGTTCAAATGCAGGAAGGACACGATGGATGTGTTTGTTTTCTCCTGGTTTGTTTGTACTTGGGTCTCTGGGTGATGTAGGAGCAATGGTCAGTCTTGGGATGCAGGGCAGAGAGCAGCACTGTGCCTAACCTGTGGCAAAGACACGACGTACCGAGTCTATCAGGGGAGGCTGTCCATGCTTGAGGAGGATCAAACCTTTAACTGCCTGTAACACTGCTCCTGTCTCCTCCTCAGACCACCCAATGAGCTGTTGCCTGCCAAGGAGCAGATGTGTGCTCCTGAAATCCTCTATGGGCTCTGCTCTTTGTGCTCACATGTAACCTTCCTACCTCCCTTCTCCTTCCCTCCCTCTGTGCCTGCTGGTCCGGAGCTCTCTGCTTGCTGTCCTCAAGCTCAGCAGCCTCTCTGTACCCTTGGTCCTCCCAGTTCTTCCCTGCTTTGCTTCCCTCTCAATCATGGCTTGAGCAGTTAAAACGCTGGGATGCAGGGTTATCCTTGGCACAGAGGCACTAGCCGGATGCCTCTGCTTCTTAGCTGTAGCTTTGCAATGAGGCAGATGTTTTGGTACGTTGCTAAGAAATGGTGGAATAAGGAAAAATATACATATGTCCTTGCTGGGAAGCAGATTCCCCTGGAGCTGGGCTCGGTTGGATACCAGCTCTTAGTAAGCCCTGGTATGACCTGCTGGTCTCTATGGCCACAGCTTATGCAAACCTCTGGTGTTGTCTTCCCCTGCCACGTCCCAACAGTGCTGTGCCGAGAAGAGTGGGGCAGAGCTCCCAGCCCCTGCCATCCCACAGCGCTGCCATCTCATGGTGGGCTGGGTTCCCTTGCACTGACGTAACCCAAATACGGCCGAATTCCTGCCAAATTCCAGCCCGGTCAGTGTTGCCAGGGGTTATCTTCATATTCAAGAGGAAATGCTGCAGCTTTCCTGAACCAGATACTGTAGTCCAGATTTGCAGACCTGAGATATTCTGATGAGCCTGGGAAGATGATAACCAGCTGGCAGGGTACTCACAGAGGGCTGAAGCAAGCGCATGTAATAGATACGGCACCAGTACTGTTGTTAGCAATACAAGGATGCTTTTACTTATTACTTGATGAGTATCCCATTGGAAACATTTGTATTTAATTAGCATTGATCCTTTCTGAGTGAATTGATCTAAAACCCCAGGTGATGGAGCCCCTGTCTCTTGCCCAGACAGTGAGTATCACACAACCACACATTCACTTTGTCAGCAAGAACATTAATTCTGTTCAGGATGGAAAAGTTATGCTTCTTGTATTGGAAATGGTGACCAGAAGCCTTCAGACCACTGCTGGTAACTGAGTGGGTAAGGCTTGGCAGGGAGCAGATTGCAAGTGATGTCTTTTTAGAGAGGAGGATGCAGGATACCGACTGGTCTCCTTGTATAGGGGAGGGTCAGTCCAGGAGTATCTTGTCTTTGGGGATTGTTTTGGGATTAGTTTTAATTTGGAAGGGATTGAGCCTGCTGTTCCAGTCAGAATACTCTGGGAATTTGTAAGCTATTTCTACAAGGCCGGTAGGGGTAGGGGGAAGAGTTGGAAGGCTCCATCTCTGTGGTCTTTTCCTGGTTTGCAGAGGTGAGAAGAAATGAAGTCTCTGATACCTTGACAGAGGGGTGCCAGAGAAGGGCAAACCAAATGACTGATGCCCCAAGGCAACACATGCTTGTAAAGAACTGTCTGAGTGGGATGCTTTCTGGGTTTTCAAGCTTTCCCTATATAAAGGATTTTAGTGGTCTGTGCTTTGAGGAGATGGGATGCTTACCCATTGCACAAGCAGAGCTTCTTCCCTTCAAATCCCTGTATCCATCTAGCTCAAAGTAGCTCAACACCATGGGGAGGATACTGGCAATGTCCATCAGTTGCTGAAGGAGAGAGGAAACCTGCATCTCCAAGGCTGTATCTTTCCCTCCAAGTGGATGAGAGCATGTTGGTTACCCAAACCAAGGTTCACAAAAGTTGATCCACTCTCCTTATTGTTCCTAGGAATGACTTCTCTATTAAGCACTTGTGATATTACTGAGCCCCTGAGAGCCCAGGAGCATCTGCAAGTGCTGGCATTGCTGGATAAACACAGGGAATTTCAGGTCTTTAGGCAGAGCCAGAGCTGTATCTCTCCCCTTTTACAGAAGCTGCCTGCCTTGTAAGACACTTGTAGGGCTTTGGCTCCAACAAAGCCATTGATCTAGGAAAGATGGGTGATGCAGGAGGAGATGCAAGGCAAGCAAGTTATTAGTGGTGGGTTTCTCTTGGTGGATTTCAGAGGCAGGTTGGTGTAATGGAGAGTGGGGCAGGAGGCAGATAAATACAGGTAGTGTTAGCATCTTCTGGGTACATAGGGCTTTCTGAACCATGTCTAAAATCTGTCATTTGCATGTCCTTCAGGTTAACCACAGGTTTGCTTAATTCCTATCTTCATTTCAGAACCAGCCCTAAAAGGAGCTGGAATACTTGAGCTTAGATCTTGGTATGTTTTGATCTTTAGCCAAATAATGACCCAGCAGGGACACTAAACCTCTCTACCCCAGCCGTGTGCTCCTGCAACTATGGCTGGGCAATCTCTCCACTAGTGTCAAGTTTGGTGTTGGGTACTTGTCTTGCTGCAAAACCTGCAGTATGGAAACACTTCCCTGTCTCTAATCAGCCCGGGCATCAAGCACAAGGCAGCTCTTCTGCAAGGGCATCTCCTCCTGCCTTCTGTCTCAGATTTGACGTGCTGTTTTCGCAGGTGACCCTCCACAAGCTGCTGCCTGGATTGGCCAGTGTGTCCTCTACTTGCTGATAATGGTTTTTGAGAAGACTGTGATTAGCCTTGTCCTGCTTATCCCTGGTTGGACAAAGGTAAGCCTCAGCTCTTGTAGCTTCGTTTCTTGTCAGCTTTGCCTCATTAGTGGTCTCCATCATCAGTCTTCACCACTTATGACTTGTTGACATCCCTCTGTAGTCATTAGCTCTTACTTAGGTTTGGGGAAACATGACTTTCCTAACATTTTGGCTTTTGGCACATTTTCTTGCTGCTCAACAGCTAGAGGAATAAGATGCTGCTTTTATTTCATTTTCCATCCTTGGAAGGATAAAATGGGCTGGGCTGGCAGCTGAACTACTGCGGTTCTGCTAGGGGATTTCAATATGATCTCTTCAAGTCAGTTCGTGTTGGTGTTTCGTGATCCCATGCCTAAAGCAGGGGGACCCTTAGAGATGAATTTGGAAGGAACTATCCATGTAGTATGCTGTCCTCAGGTGCTTCTATATGGCAGTTTGTGCAATGGTAATTGTGTTGGTCACAAGTTTCTTTTTTAAAAGCTAGAAATAATAACCTGTGGCACTTGTAGCTGCACACTTGGTGGAAGTAGGTGTGATGGGTGTAAAAGGCAATTTTGGGAGTCTGGGTAACTCCAGTTTTAAGTGCATTTACACATAGTGCTCACAAGCTGATGTGGCTTGACTGAGGACTTAGTTACAGCAATCTGGCAGCACTTATCTGTTCCTGTTCAGGGCCAGTCCTTCAAACCCAGTAGCCTGCAGTGCTCAGACTTGAATGTGAACATGTTCAGCAGCATTCACTGCTTGATCCAGAGATGCTGCTGGATTCCTCTCCATGCTTATCACATGTGGCTGGTGACCTTATTTTGCAGCAAGGAGCCAACTCCCACTAGTAGTTGTTATGGGTAGTTATGCTGAAAGACTAGGAGTACTTCTTGCTCTGTACAAAATCATGTGTTTGGCAACTGGGCTGAGGGCATAACCCGTGTTATCTTTCTAAGAGCTGGGATAAAGCAAAGGCAGAGCCCTATGTAGGACACTGCTGGTGTAAGAAGGCAACCAGTTTGCAGCAAAGAGCTGTTCAAATAATGCTTCTAAATGGTTTCTCCTCTGCAGCTTCAGCAAATCCTCTTGGGTTACATCCCAAACCCTCACCTGGAGCTCATCCTGGTCATGCTCGTTGTGCCTTTTATAGTCAATGTAAGTAACGATGCTGCAAGTGCTGGGTGGGGTGGTTTGGAAATCATGGTCCATCCCCATGGGGAGCTTGGGGTATCCTGCAGTGGCTGGGCCAGGGTGGAGAGGAGTGGAAACAAGTGTATGTGTTGTCACAAACATACAGATCTGTCACTGCTGCTGGCCATGGTCTCTCTTCTCAGTTCGTGTTCCCTTGTCCAGGCTGCTGGGTGGCTGACTTTATCTCTTTGAAGAAAGCTGGGGCTCCTTAGTTGAGGGCTACAGGCATGGGGATGCCCCAAATGCCTTTATGTTCCTATAGGATGGCTTGTCAATGGTGACCTTTGGCAACGTGTCACTAGCCATTTGGCTAGACTTCAAACTGTGTTACAGCAAGGCAAAGTGTTCAGGTTACCTAAAACTAGCTCAGCAAAACCTCTTGAAAGCTCATTTTTTTCCTGGTTGCCCTCATTCTGAGTAATGCTTGACCTGCTGCTCAGTTCCTGTTAAGATGGGAAGTGAGAAGAAGGCATTAAGATTCAGATGCTCCATGTGCAAGGAGCGAGTTGAGCTCTCTTTCAACTCGTACCATGAGCAGTGTGATGAATGCAGCATTGGCGAAGTTGGGTTTATCTGCCTCTGCTGCCACCCTCTCTCTGCCATGTCAGGGTGCATTTCCTTGCCTGAAAGCAAACTCTGGTTGTCAAAGAACTGACCAGGGGCTGGTGCAGGCAGAGCAGATGACCCATGGATGGAGCTTAGTTCAGGGTTTATCTCCTGGTGGAAACTTGGCTTGATGTAGTCTCTTTTTCTCTGGGTCTTCAACAACTGTGGAATCAATATATGGGAAGGGACCATCTGCATTTGACTTATCCAACCCCCATGGGCACTTTTGATGCAGGGTCAAGTTAGATATTAAATGAGGTTGATCAAGGCTGGACATCTGGAGAAACCAAAAGGAGAAGAAATAGCTGTGATTGAATCACATTGTATTTTGGTCTCTTAAATCTACTAATGTAATTTGTTTCTCCCCAAGGCCATTATGTTCTGGGTTGTGGACAGCTTGATCATGAAGAAATACAAGCAGAAGGACACCGTAGACATTAATGGATCCATAGAAACTCCTCATGCTAGGAGGACTGAGGAATCTCAGGTAAGACCAAAGTGTTTGAGACCCAACTGCAAGCTTGTAGTATGGTCTGTGTGCTTTACTACAACATAACACCATGTTGCCTAGACCTAGGGTGATGCTTCATGAATGTGGGTGACGACCCTGCTAACTGACTTCCCATGCTTGCAGCTCAGGTCAATAGAGGGCTATTTCCTGGGAGGGTCTTGTCCTGTGAGCAATACCACAGCCTGTGAAGCATTGCTGAAATATTAGAATCATATATAATAGAATCATAGAATGGTTTGGGTTAGAAAGGACCTTAAGATCATCCAGTTCCAGCCCCCCTGCCATGGGCAGGAATGCCTCACACTGGGCCATGTTGCCCATATTGCCCTGAATGATGCCAGTATCTTGTGGGGGATGCTTTTGCACTAACCTGGGTGAGGCTGTTGGATTGGCAGCTGAAGCTGGTGCATATCTGCACTGTTGCTCTCAACTTTCCTTGTTTTAATAGTAATTAATCCTCGCTTAGAGCTTGGTTTCCCTACTGGTATTGATAGAATCCATTTATTTAGAGGCTGAGGTGTAGCCTCTAAATGTCAGCACTTGGTACTTCTTCAGCCAGTGATGGCCCCTTAGCTGTAGAAAGCTGTATTTTGTGTAGTTCAGCTTCAGTTACGGATGGAAGGAATTATCCGGCCCCAGGAGATGTTCGTGTCAATGACGCACAGCGTGAGCAGGTGGTGTTTGTGCTTCTCATTGACTTTTGGGCAGAGATCACAACCTGAGTCACCGGCTTGAATTCCCTTCCTTCCCCTGGCACCCAGACCTGGTTTCCAAGTGCTCTGTGCACAACTGCTGGTAGCCTGCAGCTCGCTGCCAGGACTCGCTGCGATAAGAGCTTCTGGCATCAGAGGCTGGCTCCAGGAGCAGCTTCTGCTGAGGGATTTAGGATGTACAGAAGTACCTTTTGCTCTCTGATAGCTTTTTGATAGAGTAACTCAGATTTTGTGCTGGGCCAGATGGCCTGTTACTGGTGACATTAAAACACACACAGAGGGGTGATAGTGTTTAAGGGTGTGCTTGGCAGTCTGCACCATGGATTCTGGGTCTCAAGGGCACAGTGGGGAAGCATCCGCTGCTCCTTAGGATGCAGTGTCAGAGGAGGCAGGGAGGGCAGGCAGATGTGAGCAGCTGCTGAGACAAGTGAATCACTCTTCCTGGCCTTGCCTCCAGATAAACCGTGGTAGCTTGGCAAGGTCACTAGAAACATGCAGCTTCCCAAGTGGTGTGTGTGGTGGGAAATCTTTTCCCTCCTCTCTCCAGAACAATAAAAGTGACCTGAGCTGGGCAGTATCAGCGTGACTCGATGGTTATGCATTGAAGCCAAGAACTCATACCCAAGACATGAAGATGGATTAACTCTGGGTGTGAACTTGTCCCTGGTTATGGCACAGTCTGGGTTTCTTGGTTGTGACTGATGTTTGAGAGTGGTACTTCCTTAGAAGAGCTAGCTTGGAGGTGTGCTCAAAATGTAAAGCTGATGGTAAAGATCTTACTGGATGTGCTGGTGCGTTTCTGAAGGTTTAAGATCAGCTAAAATTACAGCAGATCAGAAGGAGGAGGTGACATCTCTGGGTGAGACACCAACCTCCTTTCCAGCATCTAGTCTCATAGATGGTGTTGCAGCTGCTGGTCCTCTGTGGAAAAGAAGCTGCTGCACCAAAGAGGGGACAAGAGTTTTGTAGCCTCTAGTTTTGCATAGTCTGAAGGGAAGATATATGTTAATCTCCAGAAGCTAGGAAAGTCTATTCTGGCAGCTCAACCAGATGGGTTGTTTCAAACTGCAGAAACAACTCCCGCAGTCTGATTCCTGCTGTCAAAGGTTTCTTCCATCTTCCAAGCACTTGAATCCTTTTCTCAGACCATGTTTTGCTGAGATCTTCAATGTGCAGGTCATCTGTCCACCTTGAAATCCTCCAATCCATCACTGCAGTGGATCTACTCTGGTAATGGAGCTACTAAGGGGACCAGTTCCTACCTGGAGCAGCCTCTGAGGACTGCCTCCTTCTTGCTCAGTTATGTTCCTGTGCTTCTGCCCCAACAAATAGTTTGGGCAGAGAAGGAAGCTAATGAGGAAATACAAAAGTGGGTGACCTGCTCTTCCAGCTCTGTTTCTTGGCACTGGGCTTTGAGGTATAGCTCCTGCTTCACGTGTCAGTTTCTTAGACCATGAGTTAAAGATGATGTTGGCTGCCTGAGCCCTACAGTTGGACTGACTGAATTTTAGTCTTGAAAGAAGAAAACAAGGGTTTTCTGGGCTAATGCCCTGTTCTCCTCTCCCTGCTGCCCACTGGAGGAGGAGGAAGGAGGGGCTGAGACGGTGTCTGTACAGAGCAGTTGGCTGAGGCCATGTCCTGCAGTTTATCAGGGTTCATCAGAGCTGTCTAGCAGCAGGCGCCAGCAGCTCCCCATCATGCTGCCTTTTTGAATTTCAACCCTCTGCCTATCTTGCCAGTAGAGATTGTCATTGGTTTCACTTGAGCTAGCAGTTTGTGTTGGGAAGAGGAAGGAGAATAGGAAGAGGGGGCTGAAGTTAACCTGTTAAAACCCCACTCAGAACTCGGTGTTCTCTACAGGGACAGTGGGAAAACTCAGCTTTGTCCTTGGCTTGGTAGATGAAAGAAACACAGCAACCAGCAACCTTGACTTACTGCCTCGTTGGCTGCACTGTGGACAAAAGAACTGGCAGCCTCTTGTGGCCTTTAAGGCTCTTCTGGTGAGCCACAGATGTGATGATGGGCTCTTGCTTATATTGGAGCAAATACTGAACTTCTTTACCCTGAAGCCCTGAAAGGGACAAAACCTCCCTGTTTAGGGCTGGAAGATTTTCACCCTTCCTTCAAAGGCAGTCTTAAGCTTTGTGTTGTTTCAGGTAGATGTTCACAGTCTGTTTATTTTCCTTCCCTCTCGTGGGATAGAGAAAGATCCCTCAAGGGTGTCAGCCTGAACCCGGTGCTGTTCAGGCTGGGGAAGTGCATTCGTCTGTGGGGCCCTTATTTCTCCTTTGTGCGTGTCCTGCTCTTGACCCGAGTGTCCTTCCCTTGCCCTGGCAAGTGCCAGTAAAATTTAGATGTTATCAGAGATGTCTTTGTTTCCTCTGCTCAGGAAAACCAGTTTCATAATGTTGTGTTTGATCTTTTTTGAGCTTGTTTTGTTGCTTTGGTTTGGTGCTTTCCCAAGGGAGGGGGATGAGTTTCTGCTCCTTTCCTGAAGGATTACATTATCGGAGACAAGCCTTAAAGCAAAACTTGGTCTAATAACAGTGGTACTTGTAAGACCCATTGGGGTGAAACTAGAGGCTAGTTTTAAGGTTGGGAGGGAAGCTAATACACTACGTGAGGACCTGCCTTTGGTCAGTATGGAGTTCAGCACCTATCCTCATCCCCTTTGTAGGAGCTGTGACTTCTGGCATTCACAAGAATGAAGATGCTGATGAATGCCAATAGCTATGTTGCTTGCTTTTAAGTATTGAAAAATACTCCAAGAGTGAGTTTGACTTGCTTAGTGCTCAGCTGAGCTGATTTTTAAGTATCTCCAACTCAGGGTGAACTCAGATGCCTGCTACTTATGGGGAAGCTGAATGAAGGTGTGCGTAGAGGTGCCTCTGGAAGGAAAGCATCCTACTTTTCAATCTTACTGACTCATGGCATCTCATGTAAGCTCTGATGCAGGAGGGTGATGGGATGGTTCTTACATCTCCACCGGGCTGGTGGGACTTAACGCAGTGGGGAAATGGCCCCAGAGCTGCTTTGTTTAACAGCTCCCTGTCTGTCAGTCTCTTCCTCTGCCACTGAGATGGCTTGGTTACCTGCAAGGTTTGCTTAGATGGAGCACCAAAAAAGTAGGCAGCCTCTTCTCCCAACAGGAGTGGTTGGCAGTGCATGGGCAGCCCTGTTTCACTACCATGACCCGTGCTGTTTTGCAAGCTGCTGGCCTCCTGGTGTGGGGAGGAACGCATGAAGTATTTGAGGACTGCTGAGTGAGACAGTAACTCCTTGTCCCAGGACTGGGAAACCATGGCCCATTCCCTGCTGTGATCCTGACCTGGCTGCATCTGCAGGGAAACTGCCTTGTCCAAGTTCTGCTGAAGCCTCTCAAACTGCAGTTGGGCTTGAAAACAGTATCTGAGGGTATGTCCTGTGACTGTCATAGTGATGAGGTGCTGTCGTGTGATGAAACTGCCTTGGGGGATTGTAGGAAAGTTACATGGAGGGCTGTAGGCTCAAGCAGCTTCCTACAAGCTGTATGGTGGGCAGGTAGCAGCCTGAAGGGGTCTGGATGTGCAGTGCTTAGTGCTTGCTCAGTCACCTACACTTGGCTGTGAGAGGATTAGTTTGCTGCTGAAACCCACCAAAATTACCTGTTCATCAGGCCCCAAAACTCATCTGTTGCAGGCCGTCAGTTCAGTGAGTTTATAATGCTGTGTGACTAGCTGCCTGTGTTTTCAGGTTCCACAGCATCACAATATTAATGTGATAAACAGGGGAAGTCTTTACTTGGGAAAGATGGAAACTTTCCTGTGTGTGTCTTGAACCAGCAAAGAATTCCTCGAGACCAAATGGCAAAGGACAAGAATCTGATCCGTTGCTGTCCTTTGAGCATCTTAAGTGCTGCTGTGAGGATAACAACGTTAGATGGAGGGGCTGGAGTGTGCACATGAGGGTGGAGAGGAAATCTTCCCCTGCGGCTCTTCTGCTCCTTTGAAGCCATTGACTCATTGGAGTTTGTTTTTCCTGTTTAGTCATTTTGTTCCTGTGGTAACTGGCTTTGTGGTGCTGCCTGAGTGCAAACAAGTGGAGGCCACTGAATTCACAACTATGCATGGAGATAAAACTAATCCCCTGTGCTTCTGGTTTTGGGGCAGGAACAGTGGGCTCTGGGACTGGTTGAGCTGTTAGGACAGCCTGCATGTGGATGTGCTGGGTTGGAAGCCCATGTAGCATCCTTGCCTTGTGTCTCTGAGCTGGAAGGCTGCTGTGAGCCAGGCACAGGGAGGATTCACGGTGCATGGGTTTGGAGCAAAGTGGTACCTGTCCCTTGTACCTGCATCTGCCGTGACCTAATGATGCTGTTTGGGTTCTGTGGTGGGGAAAGGGCTGCTGGCATTGCTTAACTAGAGAAATAAAACTGGAGACCCTTGACTGGGCTGTTAGACTTGTGCCCCTCTGAGCTGGGAGCTCTGGTGACCTGGCCAGCTTTCTGATGTGGATGACTAGTGTTTACCATAAATCCCATGATTCAACTGAGGTTCTGAGCACTGCTGGGCATGATACAAGATGTAGATGACTGCACTTCATCTGTGCTTTGAGGCAGCTGCTGACAGGGGTAATAGCAGTAAGGGCTTCTTTTGCTCAAATCTGGGTGTTTGAGGGAAGAGGGCTAGGATGGGGTTGAGCAACCAACAGCCTGTCCAGCCATGACTATTACCCATGTGAACTTGTCCCTCCAGCCTGCTGACTGGAATTGGGCTTCAGCTCTTCTGCAGTCAGTGCAGCCATACCCCAAGTAAAATCCGGCCTCTTTCCTCTTCCAGATGATGTGGCTGGAGGATGTCCCACCCGTGGCTCTGCATTGTGTGAAGGCTCCAGGCCGGTGGCAGCTCAAATGAGCTTGTTGAAGTTAGCTGTTGCGAGTGTAGGTGCTCCTGGAGGCCATGGGCAGCCTTTTGATCACATAGGAAAGCTGTGGCCTTTCTTACCTGGAAGGTGTCAGTGCTCTGTTGTGGTTCCCACAGTTCAGATGGTGCCAGCTAGAAATAAGATGCTCCAGTCTAGGACACCACTCCTGATCCTGCTGGCCATGGCTGCAGCTAACCCTGTAGCTCTGCTTGCTCTTCTGGCTGAGCTCTGGAGACGGCCAGCAGCTGGGACCTGGAAAAAGGCCTGCATTTGGTACAGCTTATTATGAAGTACGTGGCCTGGTTTTTATGTACATCTCCACTGAGGATGCAGCCTGGCCTGAACATGCATGTCTGAGTCCTGTCCCATGGTAAACAGCTTTAGCTGTCTGAGGTCCCTTCCAACCCTAACTGTTCTATGATCATCCTGGTGTCTGCACCCAAATCTGTTGGAGATATGGTCAAGATGACCTTCAGCACTTAGCCATATGCCAGAGAGGATTAGATCTTGCAGCATCCCCCTCTAGGGATGCTTGGCCCCTTCAGCAAGCAGTATCAAGAAGAGCTGAGAACTTTCAAAGGTATAACTCCTTCACCATACAACACCTCAGCACCAGCCGACCAATAACTTGCCCCCCCTCAGCCCGACCAAGCACCGACCGATACCTCCTCCAACCCTGCCGTCTCCCAGCCCTTCCGGCTAACTCCCAGTTACCTCCTGGGCATGACGTGCTGTGGTATGGAATACCTTTGGTCAGTTTGGGTCAGGTGTCCTGTCTCTGCTTCCTCCTGGCTCCCCCTCCTCCCTGGCAGAGCATGAGGCTCACAAAGTCCTTGGCCAAACCAAAACACTACTATCAGCTCTGTTCCCAAGCTGAAAGTCAAATCACCATCTCTCTGTTCTCCCTTGCAGGTTTTACTCTCTCCAGACATGGATTTTGATCAGTCTGAAAGCGACCAGGATGTTTCAGTACTGCAGGGAACGAACCAGCAGATGAAGCAGCCCAGCTATCAAGTGGTCATCTGACAACACTGAGACAAGGAAGGAGGAGGGAGGGAAGCAGCACTGCGATCCTTGAGCTGGCCAAGGGAATGCTAGCTGATCCTTATGGATCTGCAGAGATCCTTTTGCCTGCCTCAGCTATACCTGTCTGCAGTTGTCTCTTTGGGATGGTATCTATGCATGCTGTACAGGCTGGAGCAGCATCTGCTGTACCTGTGTGATGCTGACCCACACCCATGCAGGCACGTTGGGGTTAGGGCTGTGCACATGTACTTCCCCCCAGCTGGGTGGAGCTTTTTGTCAGGGCTAGAGACTGAAATCAGGAGATTGGCTGCTTTTTGAATAGGCAAGGAAGAGGATCTGTCCTGTGCTACCTGCACTGTGACACTTTGATATGCACGATACTCAGAATAATGGGTTTGCAATATGTATTTAAATGCCTTGAATTGGAAAGGTGGATCTGATTTTTTTTGTTTCAGTGGATCTGATGCTTTTTTACTGTTTTATAAGGGAATGCAGTAAATACCTGACCCAAAACCTTCATGAATGAAATGCCTTCATGTGCTTCATGTGTTGCAAAACCCTAACGCTGTGAGGATGAAGGGGATCTGCTGGAATCTTTCCTCACCGGCTCCTCTCAGGACAGATTATCTTTCTGCAGCAGGACTATCCTGGTAAAACTAGGGAAGAGCTGAGGCCACAGAGCTCAGTTTCTGTACAGGGGTTGTACGAGCCGCTTCAGGGCAAAGAGCTGATGCTTCAGCGTGTGCTGGATTCCAGACTGGGCCGGACTTGGAGACTGATCCCAACTGCTGCCTTATAAGTGGGCATTTAGTGGGCAGTAGAAGTTGACTGATTTCCTTTTAGCTAGTTTAAAATAAAACTGATGCTGTGAGGGCTGGAGCAGCTCTGCTCTGGAGCCAGGCTGAGAGAGCTGGGCTGGGGCAGCCTGGAGAAGAGAAGGCTCCTGAAGGGGAGACCTGAGAGCAGCTCCAGTGCCTGAAGGGGCTGCAGGAAAGCTGGAGAGGGGCTTGGGACAAGGGCCTGTAGGGACAGGCCAAGGGGAATGGCTTTAACCTGCCCGAGGGGAGGCTGAGATGAGCTCTTAGGCAGAAGCTCTTCCCTGTGAGGGTGCTGAGGCGCTGGCACAGGGTGCCCAGAGAAGCTGTGGCTGCCCCATCCCTGGCAGTGTTCAAGGCCAGGTTGGACACAGGGGCTTGGAGCAAGCTGCTCTAGTGGAAGGGGTCCCTGCCATGGCAGGGGTTGGGACTGGATGAGCTTTAAGGTCCCTTCCAACACAGACCAAATCTCTGCAGGACCTGATTTGAAAACCAGATCTGAGGAGTCACGTGAAGCGCTGTTAAGCAGCCCTCATCTTCTGGGGGCAAAGTAATGGCCTCTGTCAGGGCTGGGGCATCCCAGATGTGGCACCTCTTGCTGTCAGTGTGAGGTGCAGCGCTTCGCCCTGGCTCTTTGTTAACACGCTGTATTCATCTATGAACACACAGCAGTTCAAACCACTGCAGCCCTCCCGGGAGGGGAGGGCGAGCACAGAGCAGTTGCACAATGTGCTCGCAGGCTGGGTGCGCACACGGCTGCGATGGCAGAGTCCGGACAGTGCATAGCCCTCAGGCAGGGCCTGATCCAGGGTCAGCTGGAGGGATGGACCCCGCTGAGCCATAGATGGTTCCCAGAAGCACTGGGTGGGGATCAGCTTTTATTTTCCCTCCTTCCCTTGTGTTTTCCCAAGAAACCCTTCCTTATTAAGGAGCAGAAAAGAAAGGGCTTGGGGGTTGGACTTAGATGTAGTTAGACTGTCAAAAGCTGAGTCAAGAGCGTGTGAAGTTGTGTGGGTTTGTGTGGGTTCTTTGTCTTGCTTCCCGAAGTAGCTTGGAGGAATTCGACGCAAGCCAACATCTTGCATGTCCTCGGTGAACTAGAGACGCTTGGCTACACTGGCAGCTGCTCGGCCTTACACTGTATTGCTGGAAGTTAAGTCATTTTTTGTTTCGTACTTAATGAGGGGTCAGAATCCTACATCAGATGGTTCTGCAGCTCTCTGAACACATCGCTTACATTGCTTAGTGAAATCAATGCAACTTTTGCTTGTCTGGCAGAGTTCTGTGCTGGTAAGGGCTGCAGTAACGCATGTGCTGTTTAAGGTCTTGGCTGAGAATAGATTAAACCAGTTTCCCTATTAGAAATTAGTTTTGTTCTTGCTATCGTGCTGCACAGAGCAGCGCTGCAGTATGTGAAGAGTGCAGATTCAGGCACAGCAATGTCCTTGTCCTAAAGTGGAAGGTGACATGATCTTCATCTTGGCCCTTACCTAAGGCTGGCTGGGAAGGTTCCCAACAGGCAACAGCAGGGTAAGTATGACATGGGGGAAGGTTGTCCCTCTTGAGCAGTGCGTGGCCAGTGTTGTTTCAGCAGCCCTAAATTCAGGAGTCCTGTTCCCTTGTCTGAAACGGTGGTGTGCAATCGTTTCCATTGCACTTAGAGTGATTGCTCAGCCCTCATTCCTCAGCCATCTGAGCAGCTTGCAATGCAATGGTTTGCAGTCTTTAACCATATCAACTGGGAAACTCTGTGCTCTGTGACACAGTTGGAGAGGAGAAGCAGCATGTGCCTGTATGTGTAGTCATTGCAGTGTGCTTCCTTAGAGCTCCCTTGCTACCATGAGGGGTTATGAGGACGTGTTCAGAGAGAGAGGGCAGTGTTGTGATGCTCACTTTATAGATGGGAAAGCTGAAGTTCGCAGTCCAGGATCTGTGCCTTTGCTCTTACTGCTCTTGGGGCAGCAGGAGCACAAACTCTGGCTTCTCGTACCCTAATCTACTGCGTTTAAAGGCTGGATCACTCTTCTCTGGGGGGTTACATTCTCAGTTTAATGTGTCACTAGAACCTTAGGGTCCATTCACCTAACACGCTTGTTGCTGCCTACCAGGTGTGGAGAGGCTGAGGAGCATCACTGACCTTTAATTTTCCACTGAAATCACTTCGGTTCACAACCTGTTGTTAACCTGTGAGTGGGTCTTTCAGCCATACAGTGACATGAGCGTGTCCAGCAGCATAAAACATACATAACCTTACCTTCAAAGCTCATTTTATCTTCTCCAAATGAAAGCTTCACTGCAGCGTTCACTGTAAAATATTTATTGTGAAATGGATAACAGGAGCCTGAAATGAGAACTTGGGTACATTGCTCCAGGTGCTTCACATGGCTGGGAAGCTGGACTTGATCATTGTTCTCTTCAGGCCCTGGAAGAAGTACGTTTCCTTGGCTGGCATAGGAGGAAGAGGAGTAATGATGCACCTGAAGCATTAGCAGTATGTGTATATGTATATATACATATCTATATACAGGAGAGATGAGACGAGAGGAGACCTTAAGCCAATCAATCCCCTTAGCAACACACTTGAACAGTTAAATGTGGGAGGAAAGTAAAGATTTCAAAGAAACCTCTTCAGTGAGGACAGTATGAAGACGACGGGGCTGTCTGTAAGTTCATCATCACTGTTGTCTGCAGCCTGTTCTAGTGATATGGGAGGTTGCTTGGAAAGGGGCTGGTGATCTCTTTCCACTCTTGTCTTGGCTGGAGAAGGCAACTTCACAGATGTTCTTTCCCATGTCATTTTTGGCCCATGTGCATGCTGCAGAGCATTAACCTCTTGGGTTATTGCATGCCTTCATTTCTCTCTTGTAGGAGAGCTAACATAGCTGGGCCTAAAGCAGTAGGTTTTTTATGTTCTGTTCCTAAGCTCAAGCCTTGCCCTGAGTTTTGCACTGACTGAGCTCTCTGTAGGCATGTTCCAGCAATTAAACCTAGCTGGTTGCTTTTAGCTAGTTCCTTTTTTGCTGCAGTACACGGTGTGAATAAGCAACCATGCTTGCTGCCTGCTCTGCTGCCACAGGGCTAGCAGTACAAAGCAGAAGACAAAGCAACTGGAAAATCACCACCCCAAGCCCAGCAACAATATGATTAAATATAAAATATTAAATATGAAAAAATTAGTAAAAATTGAACCCATTGCTGTAGCTCTCTGGCAACTCTGTTTCCTCCTAACACATGGATATCATTTAGTTCCTGGGGATGCTTCCACACCCACCCTCTTTCAGCTCTGGAAAGGCAGAGTATATATGAGCTCAATTTGGCCTTGCCATCTAACTGTCTTTGTGGTTGTCAAAGTCCTCTTTGGCCACATTCTCTATTAAAGAAACTCCCTTGTGCCTGATCTAGAGCATTATTCAGCGATGCCTCGCTTTGAAACAGACCACAGCCTTGCAGTTTGGGGTTGGAGGCTTGCACCACCTGCAGAGGGGGTGGCTGGCGGACCCTTCCGTAACCTCCTGCCTGCTGTGCACAGATTCCTTCAGCATAAGGAAGGAGAAGGAGCCAGGGGAAACTGGGATGAAAGTTATTTTACGACTTGGAGTAAATAAAGACTTCCTCCCTGATTAGAAAAGCAGCTAGAAATGTCTAGTCTGAGTTCAAGATGCTGTTTGTAGGGTCAAAAGCTGTCCTGAGGGCTGGTTCATCATCTTTTAGAGAACTTAAATCTCTGCTAAGCAGAAGGGATGCTCTGCTCATGGAGGTGGCAGCTCACAGTGGAATTTGTTTCTCTGAGGGAGTCAAGATTCAGGCTATCCCTAAACCTGCAATGTTACATAAATGAGATGCTTCATGGAATGGGAGCCTGCACCACTCCTGTTGCTGCTTTTTAAGCATGCAGCCTGTGCACTGAGACACTAATAAACCACATGAAGGTTTTCACCACTGTTTTAAGGGTCTGCAGGGGTTCAGGGAACACCACGCTTAGTGGTAAATCCAGACCTCATCCTAATAACCAAGAAAGCAATGCTGTCCTGTGGCCTGTTGATTTATAAGGTTTTGATGTCTTTGTTACCTCTTTGATGCTAACGGGGCACTACAGATGAATATCCAGCCACCTCTCCTTTTGTCACCTCTTTGATGCTAATGGGACGCTACAGATGAATATCCAGCCACCTCTCCTGTCTCTCCCTTCCCCAGGGACCGTGGTTGGAGCAGATGCTCCAAGTCACAAAGCATAAACAGAGGACACCCAAGGATGTCTCTCTAGGCAGGCACTGTGCTGTATGATCTGTGCCTCTCTCTGTGTGACTCACCAGCCCCTGGGTGTATTGCACAGATCCCTGCATGGGTTAATTTTAAGGCCAGCAGCTCTCTGCATTGCTTGACATGAGTCCTCGACCACTTCTCCCTTCATTCCTACTGGGAGAGCACTCATCATGCTTTTACCATCTCCTCAACCCTTACACACACACACACACACACCCCCCAACCTCCTTGTCTTCAGGAATTTGATGAACAACATCCATCTAGCATGGAAGAGAGACAGCTGATTTCCAAGGGCAAAAAGCCTTGGTTTCTTTGGCACCAAAAAGTAAAGAAATATTCATAAGTTGCCTAGCTCTAGAGGCTTCAGAAGGGAACCACTGTCACACATGCTGCTGCAATGCATGGCTCTGGTCCGTCTTAAAGGCTGTTACTTGTCCCAAAGCTAGTCCCTGTGTCAAAAGGATGAGAAGCCAAATAGTCTTGATAGCTCCCATCGATCAGTTTGTCTGCATTGTTTTTGGCAAACCAGCACTCAACTTCCTGCTGGCCATTGCAGATCCTCCTCTGCTTCCACACCACAGGAATGAGCTGTCCCTTCACTTTCAGGGTGTTGGTAGGGTTTGGCTGCAGTGCTGCCGTTTGATTCTGACCAACCTGCTGATGACTTGTGTTTAGAGATTCCTGGAGAAGTTTAACTTCGTGGTTCAAGAACTGACCTGCAAGGCAAGATAAAACAGAGTCCATGACTGGCTGTTTTGTGCCATGTTTTGAGGGTTCTTCCTGTATGAGGTTCTAAAGAGCTTCTCTGCAATAGAAAGATGAATCTAAGTCCTGCAGTTCTTTTCTAAATCTTACAAACACAGAGATAAGAATAAAACCCTATTTCCTTTTTCACTCATCAAGACACATTCGCTTTTTGAGCTGCTAGTAGTAAGTTCCCTTCTGTGGATCATGATTATTAGAGAATAATAACTCGTACAATGCCCATCAGCAAGAAGAAGGAAGATCTAGGCCTGAAGCCCCAAGTTTTCTTGGGGACAAGCTCTTTTAGGCCAAACATAAGTGTGGATTTAGAGGTTTGTGCATGCAAGTGGCCTGAATCCAAAACCCCACTCCTGAAGGATCATCGGCTTAATCTGGGGGTACATGAATGGACTATATCTTCAGTCTTAGGGTTCTGCACCTGTACATGGCCATAAACAACACTGCTTTTTGTTGGCAGAAAGAAATCAACCATCTAGTCATTCTCTGAGCCTACCTAAATCCTAGTTGCTCTCAAAATGTGGACATGGCTTTTCTTTCCCTTCATGCTTGAAAGAAAGGGGCCACAAAAAGTACCAATTTTCTTAATCAGGCTGTTCTGCATTAGGGATGCTGTTAAAGAATCTCTTACTGGGGCCTTATTCAGGGTTCTTGTGGAATATTTGGTTTCTATCTCTGTATGGAGACCATCAAGCATGTGTGTTCTAATGACACCTGTATTAAGCAACCACAAAAAGACTGGAAATGTGAAAAACGGGTACAGCCACAGAGCTAGGATAGTAGGACATAGCTCACACAGCAAAAGATGGGAGAAGAGTTTGGGATAATAACAATAGAGAAGATGTTTGAGAGTGGACACAAAAGTCTCAACTGGGAACTTAATCCCCACCTGCACTGTTCATTCCTGTCTCTGTCCTTTAAAACTGTTTGGAAGGATCATTTCTGGTTTACAGCTGTCTGGTTTACAGCTCTGAACCCAGGAACTTGTTACCTACCCAGTAGCCCATGGGAAACAGAAGAGAGGCCTTTACTGTTGGAAATGTAGAACCCCAAGTGACTCCTCTGATATGAGGCTGGCTTCTTGTAACGGTGGATGAGGATGACAAAGCTGATGGTGTCTCGTATCGTCACAGTGATGTTGGAATTGGCAGAGATGGACACCTCGAGGCTGCTGCTTTGCACAACAGCCCTCCGACCACAGGACAGAAGAAGCCTTTCCCCATCATCCAGGATGATTCTTTTGGGTGTGATCTCTAGGTAAGATCTCTCTGGCTTATTGTTGAGGATAGTGATGGTGCTGAAGTAAGTCCGATGCTTCTTGTGGCCGTTGGGCGGTGCAGGAGCTCCAATTAATTGCCCATTCACAGTTACACCTTGTAGGGAAACAATCAGTAAGTGGAAGCTGAAATCAGGAACAGGTATATTTGTCTCAAAGATACAGACCTTGCAACTGAGAACATGAAGATTCACCACCTCATGCTCGATTATTTCACCTAAAACAGTATAACCAGTCTATCATAAGCTGATTATTTTATGCAGAGCACCTAAGTTTACCCAAGCTCAGAAATACTGGGAGGTTCTCCCAGCCCCATTAGTCCTGACATTGTGTACACAGTGCTACAGGATAGAACCAGCTGCTTCACAGCACAGTCACTCCCTAAGTTCCAACCTTAGATCCAATTATGATCAAGATAATGATGTGCAGGGATTTTGAGCCATGTAAGACAAATACTTATCTTCCTGACTGCTCTAGCCTGACCAACCATGGCATGATTTACCTAAACTACCTATTTGTTGATGCATAGCACATCGCCTGGGCAAACATACCAGATCTTGGTGGACTAAGAAAAGCTGCTGGCAGTCCTGCTTCTCCTCATACCACAACTGGCACAGGGACTGAACTTCTAAGATACCTGGGTGTATCTGAAAGCTGCTGTCTCAGAGCATCTCAGGGTGGTAGGCAGCTGCGGTTTGATGTCCCTTTCTAGCTGACTCCTAAGAAGCAAATTAGCCTGGGAAGCCACAGAGTAAAGGTTATTACCTTGGGCCACACACTAACACTGAGCAGGACCTACAGAGCTCCTTCTCAGTCCTGACCTGCAGCCGTCTGAGCTGAAGTGCTGAACCTCCTCCCTTCAGGTTCCTGGCGGTGTAGGGAATCCAGGTTCTCTTTGTGTCACTGCAGAAGAGTGCACGCTGCACTCCTGAGGGGTTATTTCCAGCCTCACCAGTGCTGCCTTTCCTACTTCCCTCAGTTTTGCCCCAGAAGAACTGCTTTTGAGTAGTCTAAGGTGCAGATCCCCCTGAGTCAAATAAAGTTTATATGCCTATGGTAAGATTCCCAATGATTTTAATGACTTTTGTGACTTGCTGTCCATAAGACAGTGTCTCACTTCCCACAGGCCTCTGGACAGCTACTAGACAGTAAAGAATAAAGGAGGAGGCTTGTTGCTAACCCAAGCTATGAGCAGCGAGATGAAGGATCTCCATATCCCATCATTGCTGGAGGGGGTATCTCTCATTTCTGTCTTCATAGACTCAACTTGCTAGTGCTACAAAGTCTAATTTCCTCAAGCTTATTCTGCTTTTGAGCCACAAAATGACTGAAGTGATAGAACAGAGTCTATGAAAGAAGTTTGCCAGGAGCTGATCTTATTCACTAAGGCATGAATACAGAAGTATGGAGGCTAGACCACTGCCAAGCAGAACAGAATTCTTATAATTTGATTGTGGGGTTATTTATCTCCTTTGTAAAAAAAATCTGTGCATTGTCTCTGGTTTTGACACCCCTTCCTCCCACAATTCCCCTGCTTCAGGACATAATCTGCTTATTAGCTGCCCTGCTTAGAATTCCAGATCAGATCAGACCCCAGTTTGGGCCCCTAAGGATCAGACTAGCTTGGGCAAAACAGATCCTGAATAGTGTGGGTTTTCTTAAGGCTGTTCATTTTAGCCTATTTGGATACTTCACTCTGTCCTGAAGCAAAAAGTATTGCAAGTAAAGAGGTAAGTTCCAACAACAGAGCAATTTTGGTGATTGAAATCTTTTATTTGCCTGCTGTGACTTTGTAACTAGAGAGCTGATAAAGATGCACCATCAAAGTAAGGCAATGTCTCCACACCAGAAAGCTGATCCTCTGTGTAATCTCTCACATGGAGGCAGCTTGTGCAAACACTACAGGCAGGATGCAAAATGCCTGTGGCTGTTTGTTCAGCTGTTGTAGGACTGGTCAAGTGCAGCCCCAGACCATACTGGGTTCAATGATCCCAGGAGGAATTGAGCTCTCCAGTCTAGCTGGACTGAAGAGGTGCAATGGTTCCCATGCACTCAAGTGCATCTCTTGGCTGTTTACGTGTAATCACTGTTCCCTTGATTTCAGTCAATGAAGACCTGAACTGGGAAAGGTTTGGATACATATAAAAGACAGCTCTTTCTATGATTAGGTATATACTCTGTTGGCAAACACTGTAGGTGAATTGTGTTTGTAACAGTGACCAGGTCTCCTCCTTGCTTAGGATAAAGTTGGAGGTCAGTAAGTGCAAGTGAGCAGTTTGCCTCCCTTTCCAATCTGGCTGATTAGAGACAGGTATGCACCATTTTTCCATTGCCTGCCCAGAAAAACACCTTTTTCTAATGTCTTATCCCTTTCTTGCCTATGAAGCACCTTGATGCTCAGTCTGGTTGCCAGAGAGCTGGTCTTACACTTCAGTTTTCCTCCACAAGTAGAATCATAGAAAGGGTTGGAAAGGGCCTTAAGATCATCTAGTTCCAACCCTCAAGGAGCTGCTTTACTTGGCTGCT